GCAGAGGCAGAGGCAGAGGCAGAGGCAGAGGCAGAGGCAGAGGCAGAAGCAGGCATATCTCTGTGAATTTAAGGCCAGCCTGGTCTATATAGTGAGTTACAGTCAGGGCTATGTAAAGAGACACTATCTCAAAAAAAAGGGGGGGGCTTGAACCATTTTATCAGACCCCCCCACACACATATGTGTGTGTGTGTGTATGTGTGTGTTTATGTACACATAAATATGACATTAACTTGAAATTGTTCTAGCACTACCATTTTGCAGTGCTGGGACCAAACCCAGAGTCTCCTGTACACCAGAGAAGCACTGTATTACTGAGTCACACCACTAGCCCTGCCTTGCTTTTTAAAGGAAGAGTGGATGGCACAATAACCCATAAGTCACCTATCAGGCCACAGAGCGCACATATAAAATACAGTTCCACCTCACTTGTTACCTAAGGTTGGCACCCAAATGTTTCCTATTTTAGATTTTTTTGTTTTGTTTTGCTTTTTCGAGACAGGGTTTTCTGTGTAGCCCTGGCTGTCCTAGAACTCACTTTATAGACCAGGCTGTACTGGAACTCACAGATATCTGCTTGCCTCTGCGTCTGTCTCCTGCATGCTGGGATTAAAGGCATGGGCTACCACACCTGGCTATTTTAGATATATTGATCCATCACCATCTTCATCAATTTATTTAAGTAATTAGTCCTGTAGGTCTTCAAGATACAGGGCAGATGAAAACATCAGGCACTTCTTACTTCCTTTTGTGAAAAAGTAATGTAGCGTTTTATTCTTTAGTTACTGTAAAGCACCCCGTCTCTAACAGTGTCTACACTGATTCTCAACACCGAATCTTAATCTCAATCTAAAATCTCTACCAGGAAGGGAATTATAATATAAACTAACAAGTTAGTTACATAAAGTTGGGGTTCTCCTGAGCCAGAACATCCACTGAACATCACTCTTGCATCGTTGGGTGTGAGAAGCCCCTCCATGAACTTACCCGAGATGATATCAGTGAGTAGATGGTGGGGCAAGTGAAGGAACTCCTCTGTGCTCTGCAGCTGGGCCAGGTGGGTCTTGGCACAGTGCTTGGCAGCAGTGTAGAGCTCGGGATCACTGTGTCTATCTGCAAGCCACATCACCTGAAGGCAGTTTCCCACTTGTACTGTGCGTGCCAAAAACCGAGAACATTCCTCAAAGAGAGATGTCAGCTGATACATGTCTGACACCTCATAAATCTCCTGCAGCTCGTCAGCTCGGAGTTTCACAGTCCCATGGTATATATAATCAACCAGGAGCTGGAAAACAGACTCACTGACATCCTGCAGCACAATCACCCGGTTGTGAGCCTCCTTCAGGTTAGATGTGAACATGGATCGGAAGAAGCAGCTCTGAGCTGACAGGACCAGCCGGTGGAGCTGAAA